TTAAATGTGAGGTACAGCTTGCACAGCTTTTTAATTGCAATGGCAAATGCTTTGTTGAACAGGTTTACGTCTTTAAATCATATTTTCTAAAGCAGTCTGTCTAGTAGCACCCTTTGAAGGCTGATCAGTGATAGCTCCGTGATTGAGGTAGTCAAAAACACGGGGCAGCCCATGGCTGCATGCCTTCTAATCATAAATTGTGTGCCTGCCAACTGCCCCAATGCACAGTGTCTGCAATGCCAAGAGATTAGCCGGTCGGCGTGCCGAAAGTGTAGACTGATATATTGTGTTCAATTGGCTCCTACGAAAGTCAAACAAGAATTAAAAAGACATGTATAAGACGTCTTGCTATGCACACAAATGCATTTTATCAGCCAGAACACCAGACACCAGATGAGCCCGGTCGCCCACTGCGGCCAACATTGTCTTAAATTTGCTTATAACTAACCAGTAAAAAGCTTCAATTTAGGTTTGCCCAATTGATTTTAAGTGTCAGCTCAAGTTACGTAATGCGTGTAGCCGTCGAAAATTGTTAAACGGTAGCCATAGCATAGACGCCATGCCCTCAACTATCACGCACTCCGACAAACACTGAGCTGCTTCCTTCTGCAGAGTTTGCCTTTTCAGCATCCTCCGCCTTCCCAGCATCCTCTGCCTTCCCAGCATCCCCAGCTTCCCAGCATCCTCTACCCTTCAGCATCCCCGGCATCCCAGCATCCTCTGCCTTGGTACAGCCATCCCCGGCCTTTCCAAGCATCCTCTGCTTCCCAGCATCCAGCCTTCCCAGCATCCTTCTGCCTTCCCAGCATCCCCGGCCTTCCCAGCATCCTCTGCCTCCAGCATGCCTCTGCCTTCCAGCATCCCCGGCCTTCCCAAGCAGTACCTCTGCCATTATTCCAGCCCATCCTCTGCCTTCCAATCAATCCTCTGCCTTACCAGGCATCCCCCGGCCTTCCCAGCACCCCAGCCTTCCAAGCATCTCCCAGCCTTCCCAGCCATCCTCTGCCTTCCAGCCATTCCTCCTGCCTTCCCAGCATCCTCTGCCTTCCCGATCCTCTGGCCTCCCCTAGCATCCTCTGCCTTCCAAGCCATCCTCTGCCTTCCAGCATCCCCGGCCTTCCCAGCATCCTCTGCCTTCCCAGCATCCTCTGCCTTCCCAGCATCCCCGGCCTTCCCAGCATCCTCTGCCTTCCCAGCATCCCCGGCCTTCCCAGCATCCTCTGCCTTCCCAGCATCCCTGGCCTTCCAATCATCCTCTGCCTTCCAAGCATCCCCGGCCTTCCAAGCATCCCCGGCCTTCCCAGCATCCCTGGCCTTCCAAGCATCCTCTGCCTTCCAAGCATCCCCGGCCTTCCAAGCATCCCCGGCCTTCCAAGCATCCCCGGCCTTCCCAGCATCCCCGGCCTTCCAAGCATCCCCAGCCTTCCAAGCATCCCCAGCATTCCAAGCATCCTCTGCCTTCCCAGCCTTCCCAACATCCCCGGCATTCCAAGCATCCCCGGCATTCCAAGCATCCTCTGCCTTCTCAGCATCCTCTGCCTTCCCAGCATCCCCAGCCTTCCCAACATCCCCGGCCTTCCACTTTGTGAGCACCTTATCGAGGCGTCTGATGAACATGTCCACGTCGCTGCGCGTCATTCCGACGGCGGCTGCTGCTGTCATGTACGCGCAGCCGTACGCGTCCGTGTGCGAGCCCCAACCTTCAAACCTGCACACACAGACAAGCACCAGAACTCTGTATTACCGAATTTAGATCACAATGCAGGAAGTCGCCTGCACGCCTAATATTCCCACGTACATTTGGCGAGTCGTTATATATTTATTTAAAGATTTATTTATTTTATTTTATTGGTAAATGGTAATGTACAGATACTCCTTGGATTGCAAAGAAAACTTCCTAACTAGGAAAACACAGAAAACGTTTAATATCGATGAACGAAACACACGAAACGTTTAGTTTCTACGAATACATTCACAGAGGAAAAACCATCTATACATTATGTAGCCTGTACCTGTGACCGTTGATAACTTTGACATCTCCCTCTGGGACGACTCGCGTTCCTGACACAAACCGCGTGAACAGCATCGATCCAAGCTTAGTGAGATTTTTTTGAAATTGGCCATCCCCAGTACCAGTAACAGTCATTCCTGTGCATGAAAGATATACATAATTATATATATATATATATATGTGTGTGTATGTGTGTCTATGTATATATAAACATATAACATATAAACACATATATATATAAAATACATGTCATTTATCATGACGAGTAAATCATGAGGATTTATCTCATTTAATGCACATACATGCACACTCACGCACGCATGCATGCACCCACCCACTCACGCACACACAAATCCATGCACGTATACACACACACGGACCTACACACATACGCACGTGCACATGCACATGCACACGCACACGCACACGCACACGCACACGCACACGCAGACACACCAATAAACTATGAACATCGTAACATTATCTCGTGCAAAATCGTAACAGAAATACATAACGGTGCACGAACAACAACTTGCGCCACGCGAAACCCGGCATCGTCGTCAACACTGTGGCGGAGTAACTTGCCCATGGAGATGGAGTTGTGCGGCGCGTGCAGCAGCCTCTCCCCGTGCGTCCCCGCGCACTTGGCCAGCTCCTCCTTCAGGTACGCGCACAGCTGCTTCCTGTCAGCCAGCAGCCTCAGGTAACCATGGCAACCGAGCGACAGCAGCGTGATGAAGACGTCAAGCGATGGAGTCGCCGAAGCCCTACCTGACACAATGCTAGAGGTCACACTGGGGGCAATCAGAAGTCACACAGGGGTCAACCAGAGGTCACGCAGGGGTCAATCAGAGGTCAGCCAGAGTTCACACATTGGGTCAATCAGAGGTCAGCCATGGGTCATATAGAAGTCATTCCGAGGTCATACAGGGACCAACCGGGGTCAACCAGAAGTCATTCGACTGCAGCGATAGAGCAGAATAATGCGAGCTAAACTCAATAGTTAAAAACTAAAGATAGCCACAATAATTAACAACCAATAAAACCTAACCAGGAAAATTCCTCTCTCAAATTGATAGTCAACAACAACCATCTGCCACGATCACCTGGATACGTTTTTCCGATCTGCTCGACAAACTCCTTGTCGAAGCCGGCGACGACAGCGCCCCCTACCGGCACGAGGAAGTTCTTGTCGAGGCTCTGTACGTACACGTCGACGCGGCCCCGCCGCTGCGCCTGCTGTATCAGGTGCATGCACTTGCTGGCCTGCACGCCGTACGCGTTGTTGACGATGTGTGGCACATCGTTGCTCTTACACAGCTCGGCGATCTCCACGAGCCTGCACAGTATATAACACGCAGTGTTACTCAGTGCACAATGAGGGAGTGTTAATACATTAACTGCACAGCATATAACACGCAGTGTTACTCAGTGCACAATGAGGAGTGTTAATACATTAACTGCACAGCATATAACACGCAGTGTTACTCAGTGCACAATGAGGGAGTGTTAATACATTAACTGCACAGCATATAACACGCAGTGTTACTCACTGCACAATGAGGGAGTGTTAATACATTAACTGCTTGGCATATATCACTCAGTGTTACTTAGTGCACAATGAGGGAGTGTTAATACATTAACTGCACAGCATATAACATGCAGCGTTACACAGTGCACAATGAGGGAGTGTTAATACATTAACTGCATGGCATATATCACTCATCGTTACCCAGTGCACAATGAGGGAGTGTTAATACATTAACTGCATGGCATATAGCACGCAGCGTTACTCAGTGCACAATGAGGGAGTGTTAATACATTAACTGCACAGCATATAACACGCAGCGTTACTCACTGCACAATGAGGGAGTGTTAATACATTAACTGCTTGGCATATATCACTCAGCATTACTCAGTGCACAATGAGGGAGTGNATGGCATATAACACGCAGTGTTACTCAGTGCACAATGAGGGAGTGTTAATACATTAACTGCACAGCATATAACACTCAGCGTTACACAGTGCACAATGAGGGAGTGTTAATACATTAACTGCATGGCATATATCACTCAGTGTTACTCAATGCACAGTGAGGGAGTGTTAATACATTAACTGCTTGGCATATATCACTCAGCGTTACTCAGTGCACAATGAGGGAATGTTAATACATTAACTGCATGGCATATATCACTCAGTGTTACTCAGTGCACAATGAGGGAGTGTTAATACAATATCAGCATGGCATATAACATGCAGCGTTA